CTACAGTAGAAAAGCCCAATGCGTATTGAAAACGACTGTATTTGTTCACGCGCAAATTTTGTTCCCATTCGGCGCCGCAAGCACACTATGTTAAGCGGAAAGTCTAGATACTAGAGTGTATTGCCAATTCCGTGAGAGTACAGAACTTTTTCAGCACTGGACATTGGCGAGTGATTACGTGCAGCGCAGACAAGACCACCGGTTTTCCACGTGATCAGCATGAACAACTTCCAATCGACAGTACTGCACTACATAGTGTCAGCGGACAGGTTGGACCTCTGGCCAAAGGTTGAATCTACAATATGATGAACGCAGATATCCTTACTAACTACGTATGGGCGCCCAGCCGATAGTTACTATGCCCATTTTGCTCGATTACTTCAACGATGGAGTCGTCATGTTTGGAGAGCTTTTTATTATACGGCTGATAATTTCTCATGGTAGTTTTCAAATATTTCAAATTCAGTTTTTCATAGTGTCCAAAAAATTCATGCAAATATATGCTCTTTTTTCAGGATTGCACCTATGTTTCTACACCTTGCCCTTGCAATGACTACCATGAGAGGGCGCTTAATGTATAACCCAGCGGCTAAGTGAGTGCATGAAACGCTTGCGGAAACAATTATAATCTTCAAAATTAAAGAGTTGGTGTGCTAGACACTAGCACTTGGCAATGGATCGAAGTTCATAACGTTAATGACTACTATTTCACAGATATAGTGATGTTTGACAACGGAGAAACTTTGATACATCAGACGGTAAATCTACTTTTTTCAGGAAAACAACGTATGAACTCACTCATTTTAGGATAGAAACTGGAAGTTCGAACATTACGACGTGATACGAAACCCGTTCACTGTTCCTAGTCTGATATCAACCGCGGAGCTGAAATCAAGGCCTAAAAGCTATAACGAGGAACGTGAACAGATTGTGAAAAGGATGCGCTGGCCTTTCTACTGACCATACCTGATTAAATTCATAAAACTTTGAAAATTAAAGAAATTGTATACGTTTATAGTGGCAATCTATACAATAGGCAGGATGAGATAAGTTGCACAAAACAGGACTGAATCGTCAAAAAGTAAAAAATTGCGATGATCAAAAAGATAAGCTCGGTCAACGACCAACCCTTTGCACGATCCAGTCTTGTTGACATAACGGACATCGGTTATTTTGTCGTACCCATTGGCTCATGCAGCAATTGTGGAATGCATGATTACAATCACCCCAAACTACGACACAATCGCTTGACGATGCGTCTGCTTGACATCGAAGACATTCTTCCATCAGTGGAACTCGACA